CAATTTTGATTTACTGACCTTAAGTGATAGAGAATCCACTACAACCTTAGGAGAGCTGTTTCCATGCTTAAATCTACTCACTGTTAAAAATTTGCACCTTATTTCTAGCTTCCAGACATTATGTAATCTTTTTCCTCTAGAGCCATCTGCAGTTAGAAATGCCTTTCCCATTTAAGTATTTGTAGATCACCATCAAGCCAGCTCTTAAACTTGTCTAGGATAAATTGAATAGACTGAACTTCTTTAGTTACTCATTGTAAGGCAGGTTTTCCAGACCTCGAATCATTCTTGTAGCTCTTATCCAAACCCTTTCCAATTTGTCAACATCTTTTTTCATAGATTCACAGATTTCAAAGCCAGAAGGGACCCTGTGATCCTCTAGTCTGACCTGCTGTATAATACAGGCCACAAAACTACCCCAAAATAATTCCTAGAGCAGATCTTTTAGAAAAACATCCCATCTTGGTTTAAAAATTGCCAGTGATGGATAATCCATCATGATCCTTGGTAAGTTGTTCCAGTGGTTAATTACCCTGACTGTTAAAAATGTACACCTTATTTGCCTAGCTTCAACTTCCAGCCGTTGGATCATGCTGGAACATAAGATCTGCCATACTAGGTCAGATCATGGTCCATCTTGCCAATTATTATATCTCCCATGGTGGCCTGTATCTAAGCGTCAGGGGGAATGTAAAGAAAAGAGCAATTATGGAGTGATCCACCCCTGTCTTCCACTCCCAGGTTCTGGTCATCAAAGGTCCAGAACTGGACACAATGTTCCAGCAGAGATTGCAAGAGTGCCAAATACAAGGGGGAAAATAATTTCTCTGCTCCTACTTGAGAATCCCTTGTTTATGCAGCCAAGAATCATATTAGCTCTTTCGGCCACAGTGTTGCACTAGGAGCTCATATTCAGGTGCTTGTCCACCACGACCACCAAATCTTTTCAGAGTCACTGCACCCCAAGATAGAGTCCCCCGTCATGTAAGTATGGCCTACGTTCTTTTTTCCCCATGTATATACATTGAGACCTATCCTCTTCGTTATTTACCATTCCCCCAATTTTGATGTCATCTGCAAACTTTATCACTCATGATTTTATGTTGTTTTCCAGATCATTGATAAAAATGTTGGTAAATTGTAACAATGGCTAATTACTCTCACTTAAAATTATGCCTTATTTCCAGTCTGAGTTTGCCCATGATTCCATATTCCATGATTCAATGTCAAGCTAACTGGCCTATAGTTACATAGGTCATCCTGTTTATCCTTTTAAAATATTGGCACAACATTATTTTTTCCCCAGTATTCCAAGATATTTTAAAAAGCAACATCAATGGTTCAGAGCATCTGCCAGCCAATTCTTTTAAAACTCACGGGTGCCAGTTATCTGATCCTGCAGATTTAAAGATGTTTAACTTTAGGAGTTACTTTATAACAACTTGCCTAGTTATTGTTGGAACAAAAAGTATTTCAATATTCCTCTAACATGTGGCTACATCATACAGCTTCTTTCCAAATGCACAACAAAAATTATTCAACACTTCTGCTTTTTCTCCAGAATTATTGACAATTTTACCATATCTGTCTAGTAAAGAACCTCTGTTATTTCTAGAAATTCCTTTGTTCTCAATTTATGTCCATACCTTTTTCACTGATACCTTTAGCTTCCATTATCAATTGTCTGAATTTCATAACTGCTAATTTATAGTCATTACAACTTCCCTCTTTTTCAATTTGTTATATATTGTACTTTATTTTTTACAGCTGATTTCACTTCCTTTCTTAACCAGGATGATATTTTATGTGAATAAGACTTCTTTTAGGGTTGCAGGATTGTGGTTTATTTAGATATTTAGTAAAGCTTTCTTAAACTCTCCCAGTTATCCATTTTTAAATTTTTTTTCTTCCAATCAATTTTGATCGTAATTGTTTCCAGCATCAGAAAAATTGCCCTGTTAAAATGCCAAGTATATATATTAATGGTCAGGACTATATCCTCCTTGAACATAACAAATGTAATTAGGTCATGAGTACTTGCTCTCAGGCAACCACTAATTCTTAGCTACATGATCAATTCTTCTTTATCTGTCAGAATAAGGTCTAATATAGAAGTACTCCTACTTGGATATAATACACTTAGAAATCATCATCTATAGTTTTAAGAAACTCAAAGGACGTTTAAATAGTGGCAGCTTCAAACTTCCTGCATATGTCCCCCCGACTGAACTCCCCAATGACAACGTTTATTCTTTCTGTACATTGCAAATAGATGTTTAAAGAGCTGCTTATCCTGCTCTCAATGTCTGTAACAAACTCCCACCTATCTCCCACCTTGTGGCTCATCAGTGAGAACACTGATCCAGAAGCCCTCCAGGTCCTGTGCTTTGAACTGATGGCAACTCTAAAGCAGGTAATAGTATCTGCTGCCCACTCTGTCCTGCCTAAATAGGTGATAACATTCCCACTACATGTATCTTCCCACCATGTCACAGGAATAGCTGAGTGGCCTGCAGTCTTGAGCCCTGCCTCCTTATCCTCCCCTGAACACCTGTGGAAAGGGACGAAAAAAGAAACTGCAATTTGTTTGCAAGTGATCAAGTAGTGCCCCTTGCCCCCTGCCACAAGCACCTGTCACAGTCTCTAGGTATATTTTACTGTTACATTCCAATAGAGACATAAATAACCCAAATAGATGCCCAAATCAACACCCTTCCACAAATACAAATAATCATGCCTTACCTGCTCAGTCTGCCTCCTCTATGAAGGCCCAGATAAACAGCTGATTCTTGCACCATGACTGAAAGGTCTCTGACCCAAGTGTAGTAGACAGAGAGCCTGAGACATGAGGCCTTGTATCAGAGGCCTGAACTAAAGTAGTGGTCAAGCCTTGCTAATATAAAGCAAAGTTAGCAAGAGACAGGCTGTGAGCAGGCTCACAGAACCTGGCAAGAATAGGGCTGGTATTGCAAAAACCACACACATTCCTGAGAAGTGCTGGGCACAGGACACATTCCAGAAAGGTGGTAGCAGAACACTCCGATACCAAGTATGGTACAAACACACTCCCCGAAGATGATACAAGGATACACTGACCCCCTATTAGTGATAAGGTCAGGATGACAGTGTGATGGATTAGAGATGTTTTGATCAAACCAACAGGTACAAGGTAATGGGTGGAACAACCCACGTCAGGGGGCAGTAGCTAACCACATCAGAGGGGCGATATGTCACTTGTTTGTACTGGTGTATAAAGAGGCGTCTCAGAGGGAGTGTATCTAGTCAGCCTAGCGGGGCAGTGGAAAGTCCTGCCACTGACTGAGGTGGTCCACTGTCACGGGCACACATGTGCTAGTGTAACGTAGACGTTGATCTGGGGAGCTAGGACCGTGCTTTGTCAGCAATAAACCTGGCTGGGCGCCTTCGCTATTGAAACGGGTCTGTGGTTTTCTTGGGCAGTATGATTGAGGTCTGCTGCCTCAGCTATCTGGTGCAGCACACAGAGGGAACATGCAGCCAACATCTGACAACACCAAAGAGCAAAGTGAATTCTAGAGCTGAGAGTCCTTAAATGGAAACATCCTGCCACCATTCTCTCCCCCACCATTAAACGTGGGGGTTCTAAGCTTGAACATCCCAGTAGATCTCAAGTGTGGATGTGTGACGGGTGGGGGAATCTGTCTGTACAGTTTATGAGTTCTGTGTGGGATTATGAACTCCCTGTATGAACTCTCTTTGCTAGGCTGCAGGCTCCATTTGGATGTGGGGCTCTTTACCTTCTTGGTGGTCCTGCTACCTCCGTGTTGGACTAGAATTCCTGGTGGTCAAGGGATAACGAGAGGGTTGTTGACTTGAGTGCTCAGCCATTAAAATGGAATCACTCTAAACAACAGACTGGCTCCCAGGGCTCTGGGGTCACCTGTTGAGGCTGACCAGGGAGTCACCTGACAGAGGAGACAAAGGAGAGTATAAAGGGCATAAGCTGTTCTATTTGCTCTCTCTTTGGCCATTTGCCGTGAGGTAAAGATGAGAGAAGCTGCAGTAGGACCCGGATGAGGTGGGCGGGGGAGAATGGGGAATGCTGCCTGCCTTCTTACCTACCAGAACATAGGTGGTCCCCCAGGACTCCCAAAGGAAGAATAAGCCGGAGAAGGGAAATGTGTGTAGAGTTTATTATTTTTGTATGTGTCTGTGTGTTTATGTGATTAACTAAAGAGCAATAATGTGTTGGAATTTTGTGCATAGTGTCTGGGTGCAACACCTACCACACGCCTCCTGAGGGAGTTAAACTGTAACGCAGCAGGCTCAGACCTTTGGGGGGAGTTCTGGGAGAGGCAGTGTTTAAGCTACTGGGGTACCTTAGGGGTCAGTGCTGGACCTTGGGGTCTAAGGCAGGTGGGCTGAGGGGCTCCATTTCCATGACAAGGTAAGAGACAGAGTCAGCATCCAATGAATTTGCGAGAAAGACCAAGAGAGGAACCAATATGGCAGCCTACAGAGGCCCAGGGAAGCTTAAAACATCCAGGGCTCCAGCAGCTGGATTCCTCACAGCAAGCTGTTTGCCAGACACTGGGAATGGGTGACGGGATGGATCACTTGATGATTGCCTGTTCTGTTCATTCCCTCTGGGACACCTGGCATTAGCCACCGTTGGAAGACAGGATACTGGGCTAGACGGTTCATTGGTCTGGCCCAGTATGACCGTTCTTATGTTCTTAAGCTAGTGGGCGGCCAATAGGGGAGCCTGACCACATCTGTGACAGGAAGTAAAACAAGGAATGAACGATGGTTTCTTAGTGCAGAAGTGCTAAGCCATGCAGGGCTTTATAAATCCACACCTACACTGTGAATACTCAGAGACAAACTGGAAGGAAGACTCTGAAACAATATACAAGATATTATCACAAGTGGTGCTTCAGGGGTTTACAGTGTGTAGGAAAAACCTAGTCCCTAGAACTAGTCCTTAGTTGTCACTAAACCTTGCTGTTCTTCTTTCACAGTATGATGACAAACCCTACTGCAATCACTGCTATCTGCAGCACTTTGGACCAAGAGGTAACATCCTTGCTTACTCACTAGATCACCCTTCACTGTAATCCTGTAATTCAACGGACTGATTTTTAAAAGCAGCCTCTAAATCTGTGCCCTCTGTTTTCCAGGAACAGTCATTTGTGCATGGAACAAGAATGAATTTTCCCAAATAAATAACATTTGTGGGAGCAAATAAGAGTTAGACAGTCAACAACCTCATTTGTGCACAGAAATCCCAAGCTGAAGTGCAAATAATTTATGCAGGCAAATTTGCAAGTGCAAATTTAGATATTGGATTGAAGCCCCTTTGAAAATGCAATCAATAATATTTAAGGTTAAGATTCTGTCACAGTATTTTTAGTCAAAATCAGGGACAGGTCACGGGCAATAAACAAAAATTCACCCTAGCCCGCAACCTGTCCCTGACTTTGACTGAAAATACCCTGTGGGGGGAAGACAAACAGAGCTCTGCCAGGGGCTTGCAGCTGCTCCAGCTCCAGGGGGCTAACCCAACCTCAGCCACTGCTCCGGTGGCCCAGGGCTGGCTGCCAGTCAGCTGTTTGGCGGCCCTGGGGCTGGTCACCGATCAGCTGCTCCAGCAGCTGCTGCTCTGGCAGCTACAGGGCTGAAAGCTACTCCAGAAGAAATCATGGAGGTTCCAGAAAGTCACAGAATCCATGACCTCCATGACAGAATCGTATCCTTAATAATATTTAATGTTGCATTGACATCTTCCAGTTTCATTATGCCTTTCTGAGACACATATTCTTAGCAAATGTTTCTAGGGCATGAAGAAAGAACACAACAGAGGGGGCTGTTGGAAGTAGCATGGCCTGAAGGAATGAGTGGAAAGTTAGGTCTTAGGCGTTTGTGAGTTTTAATCTTTGCTCTCCAGCTAGAGACTGTCTCCTTGTTATATGTTTGTATGGCACTTAGGACAACAGGGCACTGGCCTTTAGTTGCTACCATAATACACATAATAATAAATATGTGTGGCCTTGGGAAAAATCACTTCATCTCTCTGCCTCAGTTTCCCCATCTTTATAATGGGGGTAATAATCCCTCACTCACAGAGGGCCCAGTCCTGCAAACCCTTACTCACCTGAAGAAACCCTATTCCAGTGTCGGGAGGACTCAATCTGCAATTAGTTAATGATTGAACTGCATTTCTAACACATGGCACTGGATTTGCGTCTCGCACCAGTTTTACAGTGTCATAACTGCATTGTGCTGCCGTGTAGTTACTCCTGACCTACAGCAAGAGAAGGATCAGGCAAGTATTATATGTAATAAATGCTAAGGGCATCCTTATTATTATTATTGCTGTTTTACCCTCACTTCCGTCTTCCCTGGCTGATGTCGGGGATATTCACAAAACAATGGGATGTAGCTAGGGTGACCAGATAGCAAGTGTGAAAAATCGGGACGGGGCGTGTGGGGTAATAGGCACCTATATAGGAAAAAGCCCCAAATATCGGGACTGTCCTTATAAAATTGGGACATCTGGTCAACCTAGACGTAGCTGACACTCAAACAAACACTCAAGCAAACAAACTCATCAAGAAACTGCAGACTGGCTTGATTTGCATCCACTTGGATAGAGTCCAAAGCTCCTTTCATTCTCATGTAGCATCGGTGAAAGAGAGGAGAGAGATGAGCCCGAAGGAGCTACTCATTCTACCTCAAAATGTCCGTGCCTGCTCCTCAGTCAGTGAGGTCTAGTCCAACTCCAGAGGAACAGTTTATAATGCACATGGGTTTCCATTCCCACTGGTGTGTGAGGCCTTCACTCCCATGCTAGGAAGAATTATACAAGGTGACAGTTATCTAAGAAAAATGATTGGAGCTTTTCCTGTTACTTTCGCCCTGATGTCCATCTGATGAAGCACCATGAATTTTGTGCAGACTGTTTTGCATTTAAAAGAGGAGAATGCCTTTCAGAGGTGTGGACCTGTGCATGGCCAAAGCTCCATTCCCAGCTAGCACTCAAAGTCAGATCCTGATCATAGCAGAGTTTCCTACCCAGGACATAGGACAGGTTCTGAAATCCAGCTCCAGCATAGGCATTCATGTTCAGAGCTAAGTGAATAATGGATTTTTTGGTTCAGGGGCCAAGCCAGAAAAATCCTCCCTCAAAATCCGGTTCGATTTGAAACAAAATCACTTTCCCTCAAATTTTTATCAAATTGAAAAACCTCTAAAAAAATAAAAATTTTGTTTTGAAACAACCACACCATTTTAGTCGATTTGAAACTATGATGACGGTGATGCTTATTTTTAGTGTTGTGTTTCGATGTGGCTCTTTTGAGGTGGTTTTCATCTTTTTTATTTAAACTGGCCAAATGTGAAAACGAAATGCCATTTTGAAATGAAAAAGGTCTAAACAAAATGTTCTTTTTAGGAAAAAATGGTTTCTGGGTGTTTTTGGCGGAAATGATTAGGCAAAGCTGATCCAAGTTCGCAAACAGTTTTGGAGACACGCCCTGCCCCCAATGCATTTTTTGGCAAAATTTCTATTTGCCCGAAATGTTTCTCCCAGCTCTTTCCATATTGCCCTGCTAGACAGAGTGTCTGGGCTCCTCGCTACTATCTCAGCACCACTCCGTGAGGGAGGGAATTGTTATTACACAGATGCAGAACTGAGGCACAGAGAAATGAAGTGACTTGTCTAAGGTCACACTGGAAGCCTGTGGGAGAGCAAGAACTGAATCCAGGACTCAAGGGACCTAGGCAACAAGCTTAACAACAAGGCCAGCCTTCCCCTGCAAAGAAGCAGCAGAGGTTCTGATTCTGATTACATTTACACCAGTGTAAACCAGGAGCAAATTCCATGAAGTCAGTTATTTATTATTATTATTCACAGCAGGGCATGGAGGCCCTAGCCAACATCACAGCCTCCTAGTGCGAGGTGCTCCACATACACACAGTAAAAGACAAGAGCTTACAGTCTAAATAGACAAGACAGACAACGGGTGAGAGAAAAGGATACTTTGTGGAAGCCCAGTTGAGGCACCAAGAAACTGAGTGATTTGCCCAAGGTCACAAAGGATATCTGAAATAAAGGCAGGAACTGATCCACATTTCCTAAACCCCAGGACAGAGCCTCCTTTCCATGCGAGTGCATGTAGACTGGTGAAATGAGAATCAAGCCCAAGGTTTGCATTCGACCTCTGATCCAAAAAGAAATTGTAAAATTGCATTATGTTCAGAGAATGTCGATGGCAGGCTGGGTAGTGCACTAGCCTTTCATGTCCAGAAGTGGAAGCCTCAAGTCAAAATGAATCTGGAGGTGTTTCACATGTCACAAAACTACTGCATGGCTGCCAGGCCTGTCTCAAAAAGCACACAGGACAAGAATAGCCGAAGTTTTGTAGATTGGGATAGATCTGTTTGCCACGAGAAACAAATTCACCCATTGGTTGTACAACCAATTATTCTTATTAATAACCACATTTATTACAGCAGTGCCTAAAGGCCACCCAAGAGTGGGGTCCCATTGTGCTAGGTGCTGTACAAACAGAGCAGTAGATGCTCCCTGCCTTGAAGAGCTTACAGTGTACACTGAACTGTTCTTTATGGGCCTATGCTTGGCCTACCCACAGGTTTTGTACCAACATGATTATGCCGGTTAAGAGAGTGATTTTTTATTTATTTTTTTTACCAATATCACTTCAGCCCCTGTTGCGGATGTTGTTATAATGGTCCAAAGGTGCCTCATACCAGCATATTTTATTCCGCTTCCTGCATGGGAATTAATTGTACTACTATAAGCACATTTAGAACAGCACAATGACATCCCCGCTAGGGGGTTGTACTACTTTAATTATACTGGCGGATTCAAAACAGTACAACTTGTAGGTGTAGAAAAGGCCTAAGCCCCTTTTAAACCGTTCTTTATATGGTTATTCATAGAAGAGTTTACACAAAACATTTTCAGACTACGTGTTGTTTGTGAACTGATCACTTTGGACAGTCTCTGTGTATTATTTGTGTTGTGTGGTGGCTCATCTCAGTCACATGGTAATGTTTCTGGTATCTGGTTGGATGACTGAACCATTTTAAGCAGGAGAACAATGAATAGTCAACTTCTGTTGTGAAAAAAAGATCATTCATGCTAAATTCATCACAAATTTCAGGATTCGTGAATGTTTTCACCAACACCCATTCCTTAGTGCAACAACATGACATCAGGAATGACTGTTAACCCAAACCAGTGCTTTTATACACAGAAATATTAGTGGATTCCTTTTTTTTAACCACAGATACTGTTCCTCCTGATTGACGCTGCAAAAGTTGTTTATGACATCAGACTAAATTCCCTACATAAGAGGTATTCCACAGTGCTGTTCTATGCCAAAATGGACCCAATAATTAAGATACCGAGCTTCCATGTTGAAGAGGATGTTATCAGAGCTCATGTTTAGTTTGGTTTCTCCTGAGACCGAGAAGTTCATGAGAGTTCAGTTTTTAATTGAACAGCTTGCCAAAGCTTCTACAGTGCTTTGAGAGTAGGCATAATTTCCTCCAGTTCCTAATAGCAAGTGGAATCTTTGATGAGGTTTTCAAAGATGACAACACTGCAAGATTAGGTTTTACAATACGTTTCTGTTTTTAATTACCCATCCCCCCTGAAATTTAACATTTCCTTTTGTTCCTCTCTGTGGTCTTTCTTATTCATTTGTCCTCTTGGTATTTTTGTTTTGTTATTTTAAAGGAACAAGATGGCCAACGTCTCGCTCATCTCTTGGGGCAGCTTCCTCTTCCAAAGTTCCAGTGGGAAACCAGAACAGCTCCTAGATGGCCCTGCGTTTAATATTCAAAACTTGGAGACTCATTACTGGACTGTGATAAAGTAGCAAGAAGGCATTGTATTTTTACCCACAGACTAAGAAAAATGCACCTGAAGAAGAATGTTGCTTCTGAGAATGACTGATAATCCAGACAAGTCATAAGAGAACATGCTTCTAAACTGAAATCCCTCCTACTGCAGATTAAAATTGTGCTGTGATAAATGAATTTTAATGAGCTACAATGAATTTTAATGGGATATATTCATGTTTGTGTGAAGGGGACATATTCATAGCATCGACTTGATTTTCTAACAGCTTAGAAATTGTTGGTTTACTCATCTGTTACCTGAATTGACACTGAAATCTGTAAATAATTATCTCTTTACCAGTATAATGGACTTCCAGGTGGAAACTTTCTCAGCAATGATCAATAGGTGTCTCCAATTGTTCCCTGGTTGGACAGCTCAGATGTACAAATCTTTCCACCTCATCTTTTCCAGTAGGGCAAAAAGCTGGAAGCTTGGAACCCATTACTATCAATATTTCCCCAGCTTTCTTCCCTGAATCTGTCTTTGACTGGCAGCTGTTGGGAATGTCAGCACATGCCTTGGTTACTCTACTGAAATGGTCATCTCTATCATGGTGCAATTTGTCTTCATGTGTACGTGAGTTGGAATGGATGGAACAGTAGCCCAGTGATAGTATTTAAGTCCTGTAAAGACACATGTATGTCTCTGCATTTGCCCAATCACGGATGCCTCCAGTGGTCACCCTAAATTCCTATTACAACCGGGGTCCTGACTCAGTTCCCTAAACTTTAAGCACGAGAGTAGGGCCATTGATGTCCATGGTCAGAGTCTAGGCTCCTCTATTACTGATAATTTGTTTTCCCCAACAAGTATTGTTCAGATAGCTTGTAATTTTGTCTATTTCTGAATTAATTTTGCTAATTCATATAACTGGAGTTTTGTGGGTCTTTACACCCCCCTCAATTTCTCCACATTCTTCCATTGTACTGAATGATCAGACCTGAAGGAATTTCACATCATATACACACACCCACACCCTACTCAAAGAAATACCAATTCATCGGCATTTTTATACAAAAGCAGACTAAAATTAATTAATGGAAAGAAACTCCAGCAGAATGGAAGATGTGATGTGATGTTCTTGTACTGAAATGCCTTGCTTATTAAATCTATGAATGCCTTGCTTATTAAATCTCTACTCCTTGTAAAATAGATGATGGATTTTTAATGTGTGCTTAGGATTCCAATGAGCCAAAGTGAGCTTGAAAACTCCTAATTACTGTATTTTTGCCATAGATGTCACTGTGAATAAGTGGTGGTATCATTTCAGTATGTGAAATGGACTTCTCCATTTCTGCTTCAATCTGCATTCCAAATTTTCAGAGTTTCTTTCACTATTATGAATCATTCTCACCTTTTTCAGTTTAATATTTTATGCAACAAGTTCACATAACTTTTCCCTCTGAAAATCATACAATCCAGTTGGCAGTTGCCTGGTATCGTTTTTGAACTTAGCTACTGGTACATGCAAATGGTAAACACCAAGAGGATGATATTTTTAGCAACTCTGATGCAATTAACCTGCGTTCCAGAATTAGATAACTTTTCCTTGTAAGTGGCTTCAGTCTACTTTGTGCAGATAGGAGTAACTAGAGCAGTTAACTGCACCTCATTTAGGTACAGGATACAAGAGGCAAAAACAACCTGGACAATGGATGGCCTTGTGGTTAAGGCACTGTAATAGAATTCAGGAAGAGTTCAGCTCAGCTCCTGTTTCTGATACTGCTTTACTGTGTAACCTTGAGCAAAGCCCTTAATCTCTCAGCACCTCAATTCTCTGCATGTACATCACAGGGATGCTGTATTAAAGGTTGTGAGGTGCTTAGATACTAGGGTGGTCATTTAAAAATCTAGATAACATTATGTCCTCCTGCAAATCACATCACAGGATAGGCCAAGGGTTCTCAAACTTCATTGCACCACAACCCCCTTCTGACAACAAAAATTACTACAGGATCCCAGGAGGGGGGAACCGAAGCCTGAGCCTGCCCAAGCCCCACCACCCAGGTTGGTAGGGGGACCAAAGCCAAAGCCCCACTGCCCTAGGCTGGAGGGACCAAAGCCCAAGGGCTTCAGCCCCAGGCAGGGGGCCTGTAATCTTGCTCCCGCCCCCCAGGGCTGAAGCCCTCGGGCTTGGACTTTGGCCCTAGGCCCCAGCAAGTTTAAGCCAGCCCTGGCAACCCCATTAAAATGGGGTTGCAGCCAACTCTGGGGTCCCGACCCACAACCGCTGGGATAAGCCGTTGCTGATGTGTACACTGGTTGTAGCCAATTTTTTGTGTTTTACAAAAATCAAGAAAAAACATCTAAAATAAGTCACTGGGACACCAAAGCCTCTGGGTGTGATCGCCTAGCACCAAAGGCTAAATTGTACAGCTGATCCAAAATGCCAATTATTTTTCATGGGAAATGAATTTATTTCTCCCCCTAAATTATCCACAATGTGTTTCTATTATTAATTATTATTATGAAAAGCAAACAGAAAACCAAAACATTTCTATTTAATTTTTTTCCCCAAAACCTGGGTTTTGATGGAAAATTGGGGTTTTGACAAAATGAACATTTCGGCAGAAAGTATCTGCTTTCTGGGGGAAATGTGGCTTTCTTGTTAAAAACCTGAAACCCCAAAACTTTTCAGCCAAAAGGGTTTTTCGACAAACAGTACAAATTTTCCATGAGGACCCCGCCCCATTTTCTAATTAACTCTGCACCTGAGATGTATTTCTACTTTTCAGGGACCACCTTCACCACCAGCTTTTGCATTGTGCTAGGACACATGCCTGCCCCTTGACAGCAATAGTTGAAACATTGATTTTGGAGAAGCCGCAGCTTCACATCCCTTTAGAATGCACTTGACTTTTGGATCTGCTCAGAAAAACGAACACTGCACAGCAATGGCAATGAGTAGCATTGATTTATCACGATAAACCTCGCTTTATGGACTGATACACAGAAGCTCTTAACTTCTCTTTGGTATGGTACTTAAAGGCCTTTCTGTGATCTTGTTTTCAAGTACAGATGTGCCAAATCAACACGGGTATGTATGTCTCGTGTTTGGTTATTCTACCGCAATACCAGTTCCATAGAATATAACTGTGTTAGCATGTACCCAGAGCCTTAGGTCTTCTCTTCAGTACCACCAAACAATCCTTCATGTGATCAGTTAGGGTATCTTTTTCAGTTACATGATTAGAACTCACTCATATTTACACATTAAGGCCCCCAGCATATAGGCAGGTTGCAGCATGTGCATGGAGCTCTGCTAAAGTCAGTGTGGCTCAGCATAGGTTCAACAGTCCAGCAACGCACTATCAATTACTTAATGCTCCATGGCTCTGATGTTGAATGTGATTCAAAGCAGGTGGCCCCTTGTTCCTCCCTGGAACGTCATTGATTTCACCATGCAGGCAAAGGCACCTACGCACACAGGCCCAATTGCAGGATCAGGGTAAAGTGGGATTTTATTGCAATATTTGCTGTTTTTCTTAAGTCCCCAGCAGCTGGAGTCACGTGATTCCATGAGAATCTCAGTTTTCATGCAAGAGAAAAAGTAAGTTTCCAGCCCTCATGGTTGCAGTGGAAAGCTTGAAAATGTGACCTTCGTGCCCACTAAAGGCTCAGAAACCAGAAAGTAAATAAAAAGAACCTCAAAATGTATTTTTTTTTAAAAGCAGCTCATGATTGTTAAATTAATCTCATAATTTTGGATGGACCTGACACATGATTTCTGAGTGCTTGGGGTTGGAAATACTGTTAACAAGAATACCTAGCTCTTCCATAGCACTTTTTGTCAGTAGATCTCAAAGCACTTTACAAAGGAGGTCAGTCATTATCGCCCTTTTATAGAGGGGAAACTGAGGCACAAGGCAGGGCAGCGACTTACTCAAGGTTACCCAACAGACCGGTGGCAGAGCCAGGAATAGGATGCGGAGTCCTGATCTCTCATGGCTCCTGAGTGGTTAACAACAACAACAACAATAAAAGTTATAATGAGGCTGCTGGGCTCGTCTTGAGCCGATAGATGCTGTTTGGATAGTTAGCTGTGTGAAAGGAAGTGCTGCTAAAGTATGCCAGCTCCTGCACAGGGCAGTGAGATTACCTTGATGGCTTTGACACTGTAGCCCTCTGAACATGAAAAACTATTTATCACAAGTGTTTAAAAGGCAATACAAAAAAATCACTAGGAGGAATCTGAATTCCACAAATTACAGCAAGATCCTCCAGGGAATTTCCTATGTAGGTTTTGAACTGAGATGTCTGTGGAGTATATTGAAAGGAAAAAAAAAGAAAAAGGAAAAAAAAACCACAAACAAAACCGTCCTCTGAAGTGAGATTTTGAACACAGCTGTCTGAGGAACTTTAGCCATCAAAAGCTCAGATGACAGGTCTCTTCTCTGGGAAGCCAGCTTAGTGCTTGGGGCAGAATTAAGCAACATTAAATGTTTTATCAAGGATAAAAATAAATAAATCCAGGCTGATATGTTAACTATGGGCATCCCACATCATCTTTTAAGGAGACTTCACTCTCAGTCCTCCCCCTGCGTAAGGGAGTTACCTTTTAACACAGATATTTACTCCTTCAGATGATTTTTTTAACTGATCTATGTAGAAGTGCTAATATACGGCCAGATCCTGGGAAAGAATAAGCTCATTCAACTCCCAACAACTCAAAGGAGAGTTGACGGTACGGAGGTCCATGAAGGAGGCCCTCAGAACCAGGCCATAGTTAGCTATAATTAAGCACTGGGCCGGGTTACCAAGGGAGGTTGTGGAATCCCTGTCACTGGAGGTTTTTAAGAACAGGTTGGACAAACCCCTCTCAGGGATGGCCTAGGGTTACTTGGTCCTGCCTCAGCACAAGAGGCTGGACTTGATGACCTTCTGAGGTCCCTTCCAGCCCTACATTTCTATAAGGCACTTAGCAAGGACACTGGACCAGCATCAGTTGTTTATGTTCCGTTAGCACAGAGAGGACCCAAGTGAGATCAGGAGTCCATTTTGCTGGCCACTGCATAACACAGAATTAGAGATGGCCTCTACCCCAGACAGCTTACAATCTAAGGCCCTGACTCGGGAAAGCATTCTTAATTCAGTGTAACTCTATCACATGCTTAAGTACTATACTGACTAAGACTTAATACACAAGATAGACAGGGTACGTCTACACTGCATTGTAAACCCAGACCGGTGGGATATGGATTCGGTGTTTCCAAGCCCGCACTTGAACATCCTCACTCCATTGTAAACCTGGGCTTACAATTGCTGGACCCAGGTCTCACAACTGTGCTAATGCATCCCTACTGCACTATGCAGACCTGAGCCGGCTCTGCAGCTTGAGCACTGTCCACACTGCAAAATGACAGGGCTTGGACATGAGAAACAGTGGACTCAAGCTCTGACCCCGCCTGCAGGTGGCTCCTAGAACCCAGGTCATAGAAACATAGAATATCAGGGTTGGAAGGGACCTCAGGAGGTCATCTAGTCCAACCTCCTGCTCAAAGCAGGACCGATGCCCAATTAAATCATCCCAGCCAGGGCTTTGTCAAGCCTGACCTTAAAAACCTCTAAGGAAGGAGATTCCACCACCTCCCTAGGTAACGCATCCCAGTGTTTCACCACCCTCCTAGTGAAAAAGTTTTTCCTAATATCCAACCTAAACCTCCCCCACTGCAACTTGAGACCATTACTCCTTGTTCTGTCATCAGCTGCCACTGAGAACAGTCTAGATCCATCCTCTTTGGAACCCCCTTTCCGGTAGTTGAAAGCAGCTATCAAATCCCCCCCTCATTTTTCTCTTCTGCAGGCTAAACAATCCCAGTTCCCTCAGCCTCTCCTCATAAGTCATGTGTTCCAGTCCCCTAATAATTTTTGTTGCCCTCCGCTGGACTCTTTCCAATTTTTCCACATCCTTCTTGTAGTGTGGGGCCCAAAACTGGACACAGTACTCCAGATGAGGCCTCACCAATGTCGAATAGAGGGGAATGATCACGTCCCTCGATCTGCTCGCTATGCCCCTACTTATACATCCCAAAATGCCATTGGCCTTCTTGGCAACAAGGGCACACTGTTGACTCATATCCAGCTTCTCGTTCACTGTAACCCCTAGGTCCTTTTCTGCAGAACTGCTGCCGA